ATCAGCTCTGTTTTGATGTGAATCTCAAATTAGAAGTTTCCAGTCCCTTCCACCCTGGGTCATTTATACCTAGTGTCCTCCCCGTTATTAAGGCAAAAATCTAAGGAGCACCTGTGATTTCTCACTCCATGTTCAATTTATCTACTTTCAGGCAGATCCACCACTACCATTCCAAGTCACCACACTTTCTCTTGGCTACAACAAAAGCTTCCTCACTAGTTGCCCTGTTGTTTTTCTGTCCTCAGGTGACAGTCACAGCCAACTAGCCACAGTAATCGATGTAAAACACAAGTGGTACAAAGGCTCTGTGAACCCCGCAGCTGCTTTCTGCACATCTGGCCCAGCATAAGGTTGTGATATCTGCCCCACCACAGCCTTCTCCTCCTTTTCTTCTGGTCTCTGCTTGCCAGGCACCTCAGTTTTCTGTTTCTAGAACCCACCTGACCAACCTGCGTCCTCATTCTCAAAATCTTAGTTTGAAACTCACCACCTGTCAGATATCTCCTTCCTCCTGTCAGCTACTCACTATCACATATTTTGTTTTTGATATCAGAAATTGTCCTGTGGTTTTTGTCTGGCTGTCCTAGAATGTAGGTTTCATGAGGTCCAGATGTTGTCTGACTTGTTTGGCGGTCTGCCTCCCACTGCTAGAAAAATAACACTTAGGTGCATAGTGGGAGTTCAATAAATATTTGTTCAGTGAATGAAAAAATGTTTCAGCTATCCTGATCTCCTAGAGAGAATGGGCCAAGTGGCAGGAAGAGTTACCCAAGAGCGCAAAGCAGAGTGTAACTGAAGAGAATGGCTAATTCCATGAGTTGACATTGGCCAGAGAGTAACAGGTAACAGGCTGCCCCAGAATGGGAGCCCCTGGCTGCCTTGTCCATGGGGTGAGCCCAGGGGGAGCCCTCAGAGGGTCAAGTGGAGGGCTGGCAGATGCCACCAGAAGACTAGTAGTCATCCCCTCAAAAGCTGCCACATACATAATGGAGGACTTCACTGTCACTGCCTGGGCCCGCACCCATCATCTGTGCTATCCCTTATGCAGGTACACTCCTTTCTTCAGAGCTACGACTCTTAATCTTATTCAGATATTTCACAGAGGTCTTAGAGAATAGCCAACCTACCAGTCTCCAAGAAATTGGAGATTTACAAAAATAAAGTGCCTGTAAAAACCCTGACAGTTTTCAATAAATCCTTAAAAATGATGACCATACATGTACACAATGGAATATGATCTGTCCATTAAAATGATAATTATGAAGTTCAGGTTACAACCTAGAACCATGACTATAATGTTTAAGCTAAAATATATCTATAAACATGAACAGCACAACTGTATAAACATTGTAAAAGGGCTTTACCTTTTATGTTTTCCAAAAGGTCTTAGACACTACTTTCACATATATAAAGATAAAGTCATTGGAGACTAGAATAGTGTGTATGAGGGTCTGGAGTGGGACGATGAAGTGAGGAGGGTTAATGGGGATGGGGGCAGTGGAATGGGAAAAATAAAGTCACTTCTGAGGTCATACAGCAGTCAGATAACTACGTTTGACAACAATTAATGGAATTCTCAAAATAGCTAGTAGAGGATTCTGATGATGCTGAGGTGACAGAGCTGATGATCCTGATTTAGTCATTATACATCTTATACGCACATCATATTGTCACACTGTACCCAATAAATCTATGCAATTGCCATGTGTCAGATAAAAATTTAAAAAAAGATTTGTAAAGAAATGATTTTTTAAATTTTATTTATTTTTTATTTATTTGGTACAGGGGTCTTGCTATGATGTTCGGATTTGAAGTGATCCTCCTGTCTCAGCCTCCCCAGCACTGGGATTACAGGTGTGTGCCACCACACCCGCTTTCTGGGCTGGCATGGCATACAGTAGTGGTAGCAGGAACTTGGGACCTTGGGCTTGCCAGACAGGTGCTTAGATGGCTGAGCTATCTCCCAGCCCAAAAGAAACTACAGTAGCCCCTTGCTATTTCACAGTTCCACTTTCTTGGACTCATTGTCTTGCATGTTTTTAAAAAAATTAATGTAAATTATTTAGCACAGATTTTTTGCTATATTGTGGGATTTTGCAGAGTTGTATAGTGTGCATATGTTGTTAAAATTACATAGGTTTACGAGTTTAGAAAATGGTTAAGGACATTAGCAGTGTTTTTAAAAGTGTGGGAAAGGTTTATAATTGTGGGAAGGGTTTATAAAGTCTATATATATATATATATATATACTATATATATACTATATATATTAAATTAAAATAAATATTATATATGTATATATATATACTAAAATAAATATAACGTTGCTACTTCACTGATTTTAACTTATTATGGGGGTGTCTGGAATATAACCTTCACATAAGTAAGGGACCACTGTATTAAAATTGGATTTAAAGCTTGGGATATAGCTCAATGGCACAAGTGCCTGGCTGGCAAGCACAAGGTCCTGAGTTTGATTCCCAGAACAACAACAACAACAAATTGAATTTAAATATTAAATTAAAATAAATATGATTTAAAATAAATCATATTAATAAAGTTAGATATTAAAATTCAACACAAACATGAACTATCTCCTTGTGGTTTTCTGTGTCCCAGCCTTGTGGCCTTTCTGCTTTGAAGCAGCTGGAGATAAACAAGGGAGTCACAGGCGCGGAGTCAGTCAGTCCCACACCAGCCAGGAATGGAGGTGAGAGGGAGAAATAATATCAACCACAGGGAGCAACTGCCCCAGCTTGGGTGCTCTGGGCTGAATATGCACTCACATCTCACATAAATACTTCCCACAGACAGAGGCACTGAAGATGAATAAGGTTATGAATATGTCTCAAGTAACCAGCTGACATGGCCGAGCGGGGGATCGAAGTACATCTGATTCCAAAGCCTGTGTGTGGAGCCAATCAAAGGAGGACAGTGCTTTTACAGATACAGATACTACACCACTGTGTTTTCCTAGCTGTCACCTCTAAGTGTGAGCCAGGAGGCTTAGGACGCCCAAGTAGGCAAAGACAGGTGCCTGGCCTCTTTAGCAAGGCTATATGCCAAGAGGTTGTCCCAATTCCCATCCCCTTTACGAAATATATCAAGAGTAGGCCTGGCTGGGTGTGGTGGCCTGCATCTCTGGTGCCAGCTACTTGGGAGGCCAACTCAGGAGGATCACAAGTATAAGGCCAACTTAGCAAGACCGTGTCTCAAAATAATGCAATGACAATAAAAAGCCAGGTGTGGTGGCACATGCCTGTAATCCCAGGCAAGTTTGAGACCAACCTGGGCTACAAAGTGAGCCTAAGGCCAGCCTGAACTGCATAGCGAGACCCTGTCTCAAAAAGACAGAAGAAGAAAAGAAGAAAAGAAGAAAAGAAGAAGAAGAAGAAAGAAGAAGAAGAAGAAGAAGAAGAAGAAGAAGAAGAAGAAGAAGAAGAAGAAGAAGAAGAAGAAGAAGAAGAAGGAGAAGGAGAAGAAGAAGAAGACTGGGGAGATAACTTGGCAGTCTAAACACCTGCCTGGCTAGTGTAAGGACCCAGGTTTGATCCCTAGTACCCCTGGTACATGCCATGCTGGCCCTGGAAACCCTGATGCTGCTATACTGACCCCAAAACTGGGCATGGTGGTGCATGTCTGTAATCCCAGCACTGGGGAGGCTGAGAGGGGACAATCACTACAAGTCTGAGACCCTGTACCAAATAAATAAAAAAGTACATAAACAGTCTTAAAAAAAAAAAAAGAATAAGACCTGGGCATCTGACTCAGTCCACTTGCCTAGCACATATGAGGCCCTGGGTCCAATCCCTTCCTTACTCCCCCAAAATAGTGATCTTGGCTGACCTGACAGAGATATATGAGAGGGAGGTGCCTTGAGGAAGAGGGAGAGGCTTGCCTGGCTTCTGGAGGACGTGTACTCTGAGAAGGGTGAGATGGAATGAGGCAGAGACTGGGGGACCACACATCTGGTGTGGCTTGGAGAAGGCCACAGGAAGAGTTCCCTACCCCTACGGCTGTCAGCCTAGCCAAGGAATGAGCAGGGTTCTCACCAAGGCAGGGCCAGCCCCCCTCAGTAGCCTCTTGGTACTTTGTGAGCTGGATGCTAGGGCGCAGATGTGAAGGGGGACCTCTGAGGTCAGATGAGGTGACCCCGTGTTTCAGGCTTGGGATGGACCCCACAAGCCAGAACCAGGGAAGGCAGACAATAGAGGACCTCTAGGAGGTGGGGAGCATTGTCAGTGTCCCTACAAGTGAGGCTTTGGCCAGCAGAAGAAAGTGAGGCCTACCTTGCTGAGCTCAGCCAAGAAATACAGGAACACTGTCCCTTGGGTTGCTGACAGGAAGCCCCCTGCCACCCTGGGAAGAGGTTGGGGCCAGATCTAGACAACTGATGTTACCTACAGATGCTGTTGGGTTTTGTAGCCCACCGAATTTACCAGATGGGCCTTACTGAAGGTGTCTCTTTGCTGTACCCACGACGGATTTGCAAATGGTCAAATCAGCGCATTCAACTCCCTCCAAGCCACAGGTGTTTACACAGACGACCCACTGTGCACTCTGCTAGGTCCTGTGGCCTGAGGACTGCCATGTACCTGGCTCCCTACTGGAAGCTTTGCACGTGCCTGCGCATCATCACATCTGCTCTTGCCAGCATCATATTCCCAGAAAAACCTGCCACTGCGGATTGCCAGCCACAGAGCTGTGTGACCTCTCTGAGCTTCAGCCTCTTCATCAGATGCAGACACTAACCCCTAGCTGGGAGAGTATCAGGTATATAGAATGCACCCAATAAAAAGTTGCCCCTCTTGTCAGCAGGCCTGAGCAGGGAGAGGCATGGGTAAGTTCAGAGATGGGGAAGAGGTGAAGGGGCTCTTCTAGGAAAGAAAGGGACTCACACAAATGCCATGGCTTAGCTTGGCAGTAAAGCAGGCGATCTAATTCAGAGTCATTGAAATAGGGGTCAATTTTGATCAAATTCCCCACCAATCTGGACATACCTGAGAGCCACAGAGGGCCACTGGAAGTAAAGCGGGGCGACGGAGCGTCTCCAGGTCTTGTGTATCTCCCCACTCACTGGAACGGCTTCCCAAACTGCTGTCTTCTTCGTGTCCTCGGGAGCTTGGAGGTCGCAGGCCACCATGGTCTTCCGAGGGCTGCAGGTTCATTCCAGCCTCCTCCCCCATCCTGGGCTCAGGACAGTTGTGTGGAACTGAGGGACAAGTTGGCCGGAGACTCCTGCAAACTTCAAGGATGTTTCATTAAGAAAGTGACAGGGGAGCCATCAGGTTCCTGCTGAAGTCAAGCCAGGTGAATTATTAAGGAGGTGAAGGAAGTCAGAGCTTAGCTAAAGGAGGCCCTTGCTCTGGGAGGATTTCAAACAACCAGGACTGCTTTGGTGGTGAGAAAGTCTAAGCCTTGTGGAGGGAAACCAGGGACTACAGCCACGCTCACCTCAGGCAGCACTTGGACAGGGAGGCCGCAGTGCAGCTGCAGTGCAGCAGGATCCGCTCAGGACAGCTCTTCACCTCAATAGCAGAAGCTATTTTTAGAAGTGTGAAACTTAAGATATCAGCAGGGAGAGGCGGGCATGCGCTGGAATTGAAGTAGCCAAGGCCAGGAGGCCCCAGGAGAGACTCACTGTCCTGGAGAGTGACACCACTGGCTGGGGTCTTGCTTGGCACCCTAGATATCTACTGAGTACTGAAAATAAATACCTCACTTTGCATTGCAAGCTTAGGGTAGAGGCTATGGACCAGAATAGAGTTTGATCGTTTATGCTGCCTCTCATTTCAGCCTTTTCTTTTTTCTTTTTCCTGGGGAGTACAGGGATTGAACTCAGGGCTTTTGCACTGAATATATGCCCAGGTGTGGGTGTTTTCTTTGTTTGTTTTTGTTTTTAATTTTTTATTTTGAGACAGAGTCTTCTTGCATTGTTAATTGCCCAGGCTGGACTGCCTCAGCCTCCCAGAGTGTTAGGATTATGGGTGTGTGCAACCCTACCCAGCTCAGCCTTTGGTTTGGTAGATGTAAGACTGGCAGTGTAGAGAGTGCATCATAGCTCTGTATTAAAAACAAAAATTCACAGGCCTGGCAAGATAGCTCAGCAGACTAAGCACTTGCTTAGGCAAGCACAGGGGTCAGGGTTTGATCCCTGGCACCATACATTGTGCCTGACCCCCTACCCCCAAGCACCCTGTGCCAGCGATGGAGTCTGGGCGTGGTGGCACATGCCTGTAATTCCAGCACTAGAGAGACTGAAAACAGGAGGATCACTATGAGTCCAAGCTGAGCGGTGAGACCTTGCACACACATACAACAAAATCATAAGTTAAAAATAAAAGCAAACCCTCTTTGTAGTCTGCTTACAACTGCTTTTTAAAGTAGATTTTAAATGTGCATCTTTCTTTCTCTCCCTGCTGGCTCTGAGTGATCCAGCATTCTCTGGAGTCGGAACCCTTCCTGTCACTCTCCTGCCTTCTTTTGAGATGCTCTTTATTGAAGCTGTGGTTGAACCATGGGCTGTCTGTGGCCTCGACAGCCCATAGAAGCCATGCAATGGCCAGGTCCATTCCCACACTGCCCAATGTGGGGCAGAAAATGTTCCTAAGGTGTTGTTTCTTTATCTGTGCTACCTTTTAAAAACCAAAATGATGTTTATGGTCATACCACCCTGAACATGCCTGATCTCATAAAACAAAACAAACAAAACAAATCTAATTTTAAACAGGTCAATTTTAAAATGTCCCTGATGTGATTCTTTAAGAGCTGACCATGTGCAATTTTAGCTGTTGTTGGTTTTATTTTGCATTGTTTATTCCAAAAAGTACTATTCATTGCAAATTGGATAGAGAACTGATCATTTAGTTTTATTTATTTTTTACTGAAAAAAAAACCAAACATTAGTAAAGAAAAGACATTTCCCATGGTATGATTTTCCCCCCATGGCATGATTAAATGGTAGGATGCTTTGTTATATATTTATTATTCTTTGTTATATATTGTTATATATTTGTTATTTCTCTTGTCTTCGTTAAGACAAGAGAAATCTTACAGCTTGAGAAAGACACCCTCAGCTTCCAGACTCCCAAAGGGAGAATGTAGTACACTAACAAAATACCTTAGTGACAGCAAGGGGGAAAAAAGCACATAGAGAATGGGTTGCCACACGGACCAGCAATATCATGCTGTTTCCCACAATGGCCCAATCGATTTGTCTTCGTGTTAGCCAGCTTTCCAACACTGACATAATAACTGAAATGATCAATTTATGAAAAAGAAAGGTTTACTTTAGCTTAGTGTTTTGGAAATTTAATTGTCTAAGTCCACAGTCTCTTGGCCCTATTGCTTTGGGTCTGTGATGGTGCAGGACATCACATCAGAGGGCAAGAAGAAGGAAGCTTGTTTATTTCATGATTGGAAGAAAAGGGAGAGACTGGAAGAGGCCAGGGTCCCAACATCCCCTTCAGGGGCACATCCCCCAGTACCTAACTTCCTTCCACGAGGCCCCATTTCCTAAATGTTCCTCTACCTTCCAATAGCACCACAGGCTGGAACCAAGCCTTTAAGATGCAGGCTTTGGGGACATTCACAATCCAAGTTACAGAGTCCTAAATTGCAATTTCTGGAATTAGCTCTTGGCACATTAGCTACTGGGTTGTACAGGGTAATGTGTGTCTAGTTTGCAGAGGCTGAAAACTGACTTCACCAGTATTCTTTCTACATGTAGACCTTCAATTTTAGGGACATGAATAAGAAAAAAAGTTCACAAATATTAAGAAATACACAAAATAATATTATTTATTTATTTATTTATTTATTTATTTTGCAGAACCGGGGATTGAACTCAGGCCCTTACGCTTGCCAGGGAAGCGCTTATTCCACTGAGCCATCTCCCCGGCCCCTAAAAAATTTTTTTATTGAGAAATAAATATGAATGATATAGTTTCACAGCTGATTAATAGGACAGTTTTTTTTAATTTTTTTTAAAATTTTATTTATTTGTGTGTGTGTGTGTGTGTGGCCAGCTCAGCCCACCAGGGGGCGGGGCTGGCTGGCATGCGGTGCTGGGGGATTGAACCGTGGTCCCTGTGCTTGCTAAGCTTGTTCTAAGTAGGTGCTTTAGACCACTGAGCCATCTCACCAGCCCCAATAGGACAGTTTTGATAATCAATACATTGTACATTGTTATCTTCTTAGTGGTCATCCATAGTACAAGAAGCAGACAGGATATTCTGTCCAAACACCTCTTTCTTCTCTTTGAATTAAGCAAAAGTAACTGTAAATTTATCCTAACTATTTTGTTAGGATAAATGATCATTCCTTTGGATCATTTTTTAAATTGTCCATCAGAGGTGAATATTCTATTGGCATCTAAATACTATAGGTGTTTGAATTCAACTAAACAATCTAACACTGTCTAGCAGTCTATAATAGTAGTGGGTTATCCTCAGAAGTTATTAACCTGAGCCTTTTACAGCTCATCGTATTAATATGGCTTTACTTTATATACCTCATTTTAATACTTTTCTGCTGGATGGTTAAGACCAAGATAAAGCAAGACCTATATAACAAGAAACGTAACTTTTGTATCTGATAAGGTCAGCCAAGTACTCTCAGGATTTATTCTGTAGCCCTGTACCACTGTTTGTACATCCTTTTGTCAGTGTCAGCCATGTGGATGAGTCACGGCCATTGCTTGACCAATTTGCTCTCTGTGAAAGCCTGAGAGAATGTTTTCTCTCCATGTGACTCTCCCCAGGCACACTATACATCATCAAACACATTCCTCTGTGGCTCCATGATCTCCTTGATCAGAAAATTTGGAGCACAAGTGAATTACATGTTGTTACAGTACAGGTTCTCCTGTGTCCCGAATCTTCACTGACCTTGAAAGGCTAGGGCCAAAATGCTGATTGACCTGGCAGCCCTTGCTTTTCTCCAATTTTGAACTGCTAACTTAGGTTGTTAACCCTCCAGAAGAGAAGCTAATTATTAACCTGCAATATATGTAGTTCAGTTTACCCTATCTGTCTAACTATCAAACATTTTTGCATATCATGGAACAGGTATTTTCCATCAAATATTGATATGTTGAACTTTAAGTCCTTACAGAATATGAAGGAAAGATAATTTTATAAAAGTAGAAATAAGCATTTACATATTTTTACAAAGAAATTTAGAAACGTAACCATATACGGAATTGTAAGTCCTTATACTAGGGTGACAATATGATATTTACAGATGTGGGTCTGGTTTATTTCATTAATAAGTATATCTTCAAGTGGCAATATTGTGTATTCTTTATCTCAACAATGGTTAGGGTTTTATATATGAGAGCTGTCTTGTCTAGTATATATAAAGTGTGGTGGCACACACCTGTAATCCTGACACTCAGGAGGCTGAGGCAGGAGGATTACTGTGAGTTTACATATAATTGTTGCTACGTAAGTGAGTCCAAAGCTAACCTGAACTGTGTGGTAAGACCTTGTTTCAAAAAAAAAAACCATTATACACATAAGGACTCTTAAGTTATGACCAGCCTGACCTACAAACAACCTGGGTTATGATCAGAATTTTAATTTCAAAGTCTTGAGTTACGACCCTAATGCTGGCTGCTTGTGCTTCCAGATGGCCTCAGGTAACATTACAACATCCTTTCCTATATGGGGTTAGTTGAGAACTCCTGGGCCCATGTCTCTCTCTGGACACTGAGATCTGCCTGTGTACAGTACAGAGACTTTGAAGGCTGTGTAGCGCATCCTGAGCCTTCAACTGACAACTTGAGTTACTAGCAGCCCTTGGGAGCAAACTGAGTTCATAAGTCAAGGGTCCACTGTAGCAGGAAAGGAGAACTTGACAGAGTACAGTTGGTGAGAATCACTGCAAGAAAGTAAATTATTTCACATTTATCCCAGAATGAGCTGAGACTGGTTTGGTTTGGAAGAGAGTAGAGTCCCAGGGGACAGTTGCTGCTGCTACCGCAATTGGGGTCAGGCAGGCTCTGCCCCAGGTGCCCCAATTTCATGGAACAAAAGCCCACTTAGGCTACACAGGTGGACTGGCAAGAGCCTGTAGTCCCAGCAGTTGGGAGGCTAAGGCTGGCCTAGGCAAGATAATGTGATGTTGCTTATGTAAGGATTTGGCACTGTGGAGAGACACTGACAGGTGGAAAAAAAGCCTTTATTGCTAATGCAAGAGGGCTGTGAGAGCCTGCAAGGATCCTCGGGGAGGAAGCTGGGAAATGGGTCTTTATCAGGTTGGACTAGGGGTGGAGTTTGCGTGAGCAGGCGAAGTGTTCTGTGGGGAGTGGGTGGGAGGGTTGTTGCCGCACATGAAAAGGAAGCGGGAAGTTTATTTTGGAACTAGAAGAACATGGAAGTTACTCTTGGAGGGACACATAGCCATTTTGGAGCCCAATGCCA